TCACCATTGTGAATGGCTCTAAAGATTTCAGCTTAAGGAACAGCAATCTGCAACTAATCTGGTGTGCCATAGGCTGCATGAACATGCTAACAGCAAATAATTAAAAATATATCACATACTCGCACCATTAAACTGATTGTGCACCTTTAAATCTGGGCAAACAGAAGAATACAACTCATATAATGAGATAAACAGCAAAGCTGCTTACCTGAAAAGAAATTCAAGCAATAGCCTCGATAGTCATATAACAAACATGGAAGTATTCTCATATATTTCAGTTCTGGATTTAACTTCTGACTACAATTTTGGATGGAAAGTTTGAAAACACAAAGGGATATCTATGACGATTTTTTTTTCAAAATACATTTCAAAAAAGTTTTCAAAGAACTGTCTTGCTTCAAAAAATAATAGAAATTACTTTAATTAAAAAAAAAAACATAATTGAAACAGTTCAAATAAGACTTAAGCTATTTTATTTCAGCAGGTTTTGCTATATTTTCCTACTAGACCTTGATATATTTCAGCAACCCAAAGAAACACACGCCATCAGGACCTCCCATCTCTCTTGTAAGTTCAGCTCAATACCTGTTCTTATTATTGGGCCAGGACCATTTATCTGTCTTGCAAATACCAATACTCTATTCCCACTCTGCAAAGTACTTAGGCAGAAATTTGGCTTTAGCGAAACTACTGATTGAATTAGAGTTAAGACTTGAACACTGTTTTGGGTGAGGGCCAGAGCAGTTTTTTTGTTTTGTTTTCCTCCAGGTTAAGCCCTAAATCATTTTCCATAAGTGATTCAATTCCAGTTCTTAACCCACTGTTTCAATTTTCTGAATTTCTTCAATTGCTTTTATCCTTTGGATGAAAATCAAAGCCCAAGGCCCGATTTACAAATATATTGTTGCTGTTTTATGTGAGCACGACTTCAATGCTGTGTCCTATAATAAATCTGAGAAAATGATTATAGGGGTGAATGAATGTGTTTATGCACTACTTTCAGACAGCTAGTCACTAGGGAAAAAAAAAGTCTTTCCCATCATAGGTTCTGATGTCCAGATGAATGAAACTATAGTAAATTACATTATTTTCCTCTTTGTGATGAGAAAGGAAGGAAAAAAAAAAAGTACAGGCTTTTTACTTTTTGGCTTCCTGACAACAACGATAAATCACAAGAATTTAAACAAAAAGAGAAGGAAAATAACTAAAATCCATTAATACATTCCAATAAGCCTTAGAAGCAATAAGTTTCAAAGCATAAAAAAAAAAAAAAAACTATGCCAGAAATCTGTGGCACATAAGATGATAGATTCTTATTGAAACACAAGGTGTTGGAAAGCTCTTTTCCTCTTTCACCTCAGTTGAATTCAAAACAAACCCAAGACAGACCTTTGCTATGCTCTAGACTTGGACTTCCATGGAATTTTACCACATTTTCCTCCGTTTAAAATTCTCTGACATATATTCTGGGTAATACCTTGTCATTTCCATGGGCTACTATGCTTATGACCATACATTACCATGCTGGGAAAAAACTGCTCTTTCCATCCCTCCTCAATAGCATGCCAAGTAAGAGAAGTAATCTATGGACTTCATGGAACTTCTGCTCCTACTAGCTCTGACTCTGGTTCAGTCTGAACTGAAATGAAACACTATGCAAGTGGATTTGCGGCCCATGGTAATATCTGCATTTAAACAGGGCAGTGGAGAGTAATCACATTTCCTTGCAAAGCTGGTAAAAGCTTGTCTCAGAAAAGCTGTGTAATAGAAAAACTGCATAAGTAGTAAAGCCAATCCTTTCAGTGTCAATCACTGTTCAGGGAAAGTGCATCATCTGGCTAAACATCCATTCCTTATTTATCAGCTGAAATGCATCTTGCCTAATCTAGTAAACAAAGAATCTGGCTCAAGTTAACTTTAATAGACATAAATGATCCTAAGAAAATTACTCCCACTTTTATCTCAGTAGCCATGCTGTAATTTTAAATATGTTTCTTCAAAAAAAAAAAAAAAAAATTGCTTCTAAAGTAGTTAATAATTCATTAATCCTGCTTTGCTGGACACTTAGGTGCTTTTTCTCAAAGGCTTATAATTTGAATATCTCACAAAATCCAGGTGGTTATTGAAAGAGTGCATCTAAATACATCTTGTGGAAAAATTCTTTCTGGCTAAAGTCAATATAACCAAGAGCTTTATTTCACACATGATCCGTCAGGCAAAATCTGCTTTGATAGAAGTCATAGAAACGAATGGTGGGATTTATGTTAACTATTCACAGCATTAAATATTCTTTTGTGCATATTATTTCTTGAGTGTTAAATTAAAAAGCAATATGCACAGTGGCACAACATTCAGCAAAAAAACGGAAGTTGAGCTGACTACAGTCAGTGTGTACTAAGAACCAGTGAAAGATGTTGAGAGCATCTCACTACCGTCTTCAAAGAGGGCAGATCAGCAGAATTGTGAACTCAGCTCCACCACTGACATAAGCCCTCACCCAGCCTAACTGATCAGATGGGCAAAGACGTAAAAATAATGTTTTGTGTTAGACCTATGTGGATGGTTTTTGAGACTCATAATTAATGGCAGGGCTAATGCTAACTGTTAATAGCTTACACTTCTCAGCTTGCAGAAGACCAACGCAGATTTTTTTTTTTGTTAAAACAAAAAAAATTTCTTTTCTTCTAAAAGTATTTTAGGAGAAAAAAATCATTTAGATATGTTGTAAAGCTGTAAAATTATCGTAATGTAGTTTATCTCATATAAATATTAAAGACCGAACCGACTATTGAAGACCGAAAAGTCACTTCATTCCAAGAAATGCTTCCTTGACATATGATCTAGATGTGCCTAGAAGTTATTCTTCAGGTTAGTCTGCCATTTTTTATTTTGTTTTATAGAAAAATCCAAGGCTGGAAAGGCTGTTCACTTATTCTGTGCCTTGGAGCACTGCTCCCCCAAAAGCTTGTTGGCCTACAAGTTTTCTCTACACAAATATGTGGTGTAAGAAAGCCGAGTGCCTCGAGGAGCAGCCTGTTAGCTGAGGCAGCTCAGTCCTTTCTCTACCTGAGAGGCCACAACCTGAATGCCAGGCAAAGAAAGCTGAAGGTTACCTGCATTTCTAACCACATGCTGAGATATTACAAGATATACTTTGCTTTGCTGCCCATGGCTCCTGTCTGACCTCAATACCTGCTGCCTATTGATGGGAGCTGGGCCCATTGTGATTGTGGACACATGCTGGGGTGCTGGGATGCCTTGCCAGGCATCAAAACACATGTGGCTCTGAGCTCAGATCCTTATGTCCTGCAGTTAGGTGTAGCCTAACTTTAAGCAGGTAGTAAATAATGTATCCAAGAAGGTATTTAGAAGCCTGAATTTTTATTTATGTTCTTTTTAGAACAGTAATTCAATGTCTAATTTTCTCCTTTCTTCTCCCTATGGGTTCATGTTGTTGAACATTGCTGTGATATGTTTTATCAGGCACGAGTTTTGCAAAGAAAGTTCTTGCCTTTCATATCAGCTGCGGTTTTCAGGTTTAGGTCTTCTCTCTGTTCTGAGATTATGGTATTTTTACAATCTTTTCTGTACAGATGCAGATCAAATAGGGTTTGTGTGCTCTACAAATGTATTACACACACACACAAAAAAAAAAGCAAAAAGGAAGGACTCAAACAATAGGAAATGCTAGAATTAACCTGTTTATAAGCCTTCCTAATTCACCATCACTGGGCATACATTCAGTGCTACGTTACTTAATTATGTGATGCAAACCATAATTTTCCCATAGGAACCCAGTCTTTTTCACCATGCCTCACCCTTGAGAACTGTGCCAGCGTGGCAGATAATCCAGCTGACTAGCACATTCCTCTTGACAAAATGATCCCAAAGCCATTAAAACTAATTAATGCCGCAAGTAATCAGTGAAACATGCCAAAGAGCACTGCTCCAGGACTACAACTCATAGTCCTGGGGAAAGTGAGCTCTGACAGACTTGCAGAATAGGTAAATCAAGTTCAAAACAGCTCCTACCTTCAAAACTTGCCTACACCAGCAAACCTGGCTGGGCCAGTGGGGCTGAAGGGGTGGCACGAGACCCTCTTTCACCTCTGCCCCTCTCCCGCATGGCACAAAGGAACACCTCTATCTTCATGAGACCAGCTTGTGTGGGGGAAAAGCTGCTTGAAACAGCTCCTAAACGCATGCAAGAGTCTCCTGCTGAGGGTAATACCATGAATAAGCACTCATCAGTATGAAGTAAAGATTGAAATTTAGTGACTTATTAAATTGTGGGACTACTAGTACTGCTGAAATTATCTGTGCTGCTTGGCCTTGTAGCACCAATTTTCAGGACGTTTCTGTAATCTGACCAAAGCTGATACAAGGAACAGTTTTAAGCTTAAAAATATGCTTTTAAGAAAGTGAAGGGACATTATAAAAGGCTTACTGCAGGACTCCTGGAACATGCATGTACCTGCTATTTGACCTTTGGAAAACAGAATTCCTTAAACAATCCATGCATTGCCTTTGTCAAAGCAGTAACTTTTCAGTAACTTTAAAAGTTTACTTAAAACATCAAGAACTCTCATGAAGGAGAAAGAAAATTTAATTCATTTGTGTGACTGAAATTCATTTTGTTCAGTGGGTGTTTAAACAAGAAGTACTGGAAACCTAAATCATATAATGAATAAAATTGTTTTCCTTTTCTTTTTTTCCCACTTTGCCATAATGTACTTTTGGAGAAATATTATAGTCATGAATTTATCAGCAATTTCTTTTGTTTAATTTAGCTTCAGTGTATTATTGCAAAAAAATTTTTATATCTACTGAAGTTGTAATTAGTCTTAAAAATATTCCGGAAAAATAAAAATGCATGTAGTAGTCACGACTGAAGCTGTATCACCATGTTCATCATCTCCAAAAAGTTCAAAATTGCAACAGTCAATATTTAATGTAAAATACAAAAATATGTTTTTATAATATTTGGTAAACATATGAACTCTAAAATACTTCAATGTTGCCACCATCGTCTTCAGAATAATCAACAGGAGAATAATTAATCCTTTTATGAACAACAGAGAAATGGAAAATTTCAGAAGCATTAGAGTATATACACCTATTTTGGGGAAACTGTGGCCAAAAGGAAAACATATCTTTTTCAGCCCATGCTGTAATTAGTTTCCCACCTGAAAAAAAAGAAAAAGAGTTTGTTCTGGAAAGAACATGAGCTTTAAGCCTAACATGATTAGACTGAATATTTTAACTGGGGGTGAATCTCGATAAACAAGCTTTTAATTGTCACCAGAATCAAACAGCTTCTATGAATGGAGAAGGCTGCAGCACATCTGCTTCTGTCATAAATGTACTCATCATTTTGGTCTTTTCTATTCTACTCATCTATTTGGTCTCTTAGCTAAAATAAGAAAAACAATACTTTTATTCCAAGAAGCTATGCTGCAATTATTTTTATCATCTTCATCATCTATTGGATATCTTAAAACCTATCATGAGCAATTGGTAGAAATTTTTCATGGCATAAGTAAGTCTTCCAGCAATTAGTGCTACATTTAGAAATCTATGAAAAACATTTTTTTCTGCTCATTTCAGAAAGAGAGACCTCTTCTTGCTGTCAGACAAAAAGCCTCTGGTGAAATGACTCTTAGTACATGTAAGTCAGATGCAGATACTGAAACTCTACTTTGAACAAGTGTTCCCAGTGCTGCTAAAGATGCTCCCAAATCTTTGCCTTGCTTTGACAAAGGTTTCAGAGCTCATGTAGGAGACCAAACAGCCACAGAAGCCCTGAGTTTTCCAGTCCACATCTCCTTGGAAATGTCCACCCAGGCATTGCTGCTGTCTTGCAGAAGGACATTTCTCATTGCAGTCTGACTGTGAAGGTCTGGAGCTGTTCTGCCACAGTCTCAGCACCTTGAAACACAACACCAGCAGGTTACAAAAAGGCTCTTAATGGTTTTTCTTTTTCCCTATGAACTGAATGAAAGTATCCAGAGAGTTTTGGTGAGGCCACAGTCTAGAAATTTCCTAATTGTGCCAGGAGCTGGCTGGCTATCAGAAAGCAAAGCCTTATACCACACACTGTATGCAACACCCTTTTTCAATCACTTTGGGGCTCATACAAAGCAATTGTAGCTTTAGTAGCCCATAACAAAAATCTTCCAGAAGTTTTAATTACTACATACTATATCCTTACCTGGCTTGCAAATGCAAAGAGACCCGAGGGGTTGTAAGTCTTAACAAGCAAGGATATTAATTCCAGGGAAGTAATTTTATATAGGGAGACTAATCATCTTGGCTCCCTTTGTAATCAACAATAGAAAGAAGCTGCTATTAAGAGTGATGTGAGCCAGAAGCCCTGCTCTGCAGGTGCTCTGAATTACTTGGAAGATGCCTTCATTTCCCCCACTGACAACAGTGAGTGCCCAAAAAGACGAGTTTCCTTTCCTAAAACTAATGCCCTGCCAAGTTTTAACAATGAATGTACATCTCTATTTTTGGTTTAGGTCTGCACTTCAGGGTGGGATTATTGCAAAACTGCTTTCTTCTTCTTTTTAATTGAGGTTAGATTTTGCTAAAAGTTTTTTTTTTTTTCCTAACCCCAATTACACATGGAAAAGGAGATTCGATGAACAGCCACTGTTTAGTGTTAGTCTTGGTCTGCAAAATTTTGATCTCTCAAAACAGTTTTCCACTTATGAGAAAATGAAGGTAAGGAAAAAATACCCCTTAAAATAGAGGGAGTGTTCAACCCTTGGTACAAATCAAATAAGTGAGGGACACTTGACTAGAAAAATTCTATATGCAGAAATGCTGCAATTTCATGAGCTCAGTAAGGTCCTCACATCATGTTTTCTAAAAGCATTTTGATCAAAGCTGCACCTACACAGGATATTTTCCATTATGATTCAGAAGCAGTTTACACCATTAGTTTTTTCTGATTTCTTGATACCTTCAGTAGCCAGCAATGTAACTGGTGTTTTAACAACATAGTAAAGGGCCACCAAAGAGCAGATAACTTTGTCTCTTGAAAAGCAATCATTTTAATATTGAATTATTTTCAAAGGTTATTTTTATTATGTCTTGACATTCAGCAGCATTTTGGTGCTTGTGAAATTAATATAAGTCAAGGAAGAAAGTGAAGGTTTACTGATGAAGATGGCCAAAACCCATGGAATGCACATGGCGCTTGCTTTAAAAAAGACAAAAACATATTCCTGTCCCCATGGCATCCTGGAAAACCTAAATGGGAAAAAAAAAATGTTTCATTTGAGATTCAACATAGGAATTTAAATTTTCAAATGCAGGCAGCTAGTTTGTGCCCTTAAAGATTTGCTGTCCTGAAATCCAAGTTCAATAGCTGTTTGCATCTGGAGATGATTGTTTAATACTGAACGGCACTTATGGCTGCTATGGCAGTAATAGTGGAGTTTAGCACTAAGGCCAATAGTGGACCTCTTTAAATAAAACTCTGTCTTATATTCTGTCTCAAGAGAAGAAGCAACCAATCCTTTTATGCAGCAGATACAGCTGCAAATGATGATGGTGAGTACGGAAAGCATCAGCTCTCATAATAAAGCCAGGCAGATCATACTTTGCAAATACCATGGTTAAGACACACAAGATGATACCACAAGTACATGTTGTTTTAATAGTTTCCCATTGTCAGTTAAAACAACAAAAGCCAAAAATCTGCCTCATATAACACATACAAAAAAGAAAAGATCAAATTTTGAAGTCTTTGAGAGAAGTCCTCCACCTCCATCCTCAGGGCAGTCACTTTGTGGAAGATTGCCTTAGAGGGGTGGATCCTGAGAAAAGACTAAGCAAGTTGGGCCTGTTTAACCTAGAGAAGAGAAGATGAGATCTTATCAGCATGTATGAATACCTGAAAGGAGGGTACAAAGAGGGCCAAACTCTTCTTGGTGGTGGCTAGAGATAGGACAAGGGGTAAGGGGGGTAAATGAAACACAGGAAGTTGCATCTGCATATGAGAAAGAACTTCTTCACTGTTGACAGAGCACTGAAATAAGCTGCCCAGAGAGGTTGTGGCATCTCCTTCTTTACCAATATTCAAGTGCTGCCTGGATGCAATACTGAGACCTAAAACCTTGAAGGCTTCAGCTGGAAATAAGATTCACTTAACCATAAGTGGATGACTCCACTGAGCTACTCAACTAAAATCATTCTACTGATAATAGAGAAAAAAAAATGCTCCTAGACTTTATGCACCTCACTGCACTCACTGTAGGGGTCTGGCTATAAAACAAAGCAGGACAACTAGAGTCTCTCTCCAGCTAGGTGAGGAGGGTTGCTTAAGTATGTTATAGTAGCAGTAAGTTGTTGGAGTTGTACTGAAACACTGTAGTCTCCAAAATCTGTCTTTGGAGAGAGTCTGTCTGTCTTTGGATACGGGTATCTACAGATGGAACCACCAGCTAGAGGTAAATCCAAGGATTGTAGAAGTTTAGGCTAGTAGCTTAGACTAGATGTTTATAATAGGACTAACAAAATTAGAGGACTAGCTAAACTTAGGTGAAATAACCTGCCCACCACTTGCTGTTTTCATAGGGATGCTGTTCGTAACAATGCCTAAAATGGAGACATCATGTGCAGACACCAACCCTAACTAGGGGCATGTTATCCCATGCTCAAATATTTGATTAGGTGCATATAGTTATGTTACATTCAGGCCTGACTGAATCATAAGAGAGAACAATATAAAAGTATCCTGTAATCCTATTACAACTGAAAAAATTGCTCTAGTATACTTACATGATTATCAGTAAATAGAATCATAGAATCGCTATGGTTGGAAAAGGCCTTCAAGACCAAATACAAAATATTATGAGCACACATCCAAGTCATATGCTGGATGAGTGGCATGGGCTACCTCAGCTTATTTGTTTAATTGGAAATATATAATATGGAGGTAGTATTCACAAAGAAATGCATAATTGAAAGTCTAACTGGTCTAAGATATGTTACGTTAAGCATCCATTAATTAAATCACTCAAAAGGTGAATACTGATTTAATTATTAGTGATTTTAGATATTAGCAAGCATTTTCAAAAGTAAATGACAATTCTGGATGACTTATTTTCAGAAAATATGGTTACAAGTTCATTATGAATATGACCTCTTAAAATCTTTAATGCAGATATCAAAAAAAATGAAAAACAACTATCCTGACATATTTTACTGAAGCTTTAAGGCAAGCAGATGATAAACTCTCACACTGGTATTGACATTTGCAAGAATGTATGCAGCACTCATCAGAGTTACTTAGCTAAAAAGAGATATACTATGCTCTCTGTGTGCAAATATGTTGACATCTTCCTGTTGTTTCTACCACAGCTATGAGCTGCCATATTGTTGCTACAATGCAGATACTCAACGCTACAGAAAAGTCTTCAGTTTCCTTCCTTCACTACAAAAATTTCAGATTCTTTCTGTCCTTAAAAGAGATGTAAACAGAAATCATCATCAGAAAAAAAAAAGTACTGGTCTTTGTGTTTAAGAACGCATTGTTAAAAATAATTTAGCCAATCAGTCAAAATTATGTAAAATTCTTACAACTAAGCTATTTCACATAATATATTCTTTTTCAGTACCCATTTTTTCACCTGCACACACAAAATGGCTGAACTGCAGACCTCTGACATTAGGGAAAATGTGCTATTTCATTCTTTATGCAGAAGACTGAAGCAAGCAATGTACCAACGTACAGTGTGTTCTTTAATCATGCAAGGATATTGCAGCTATGTTCAGTGCTCTGAATTATATTTTTTTATGAGAAAGACAAAATGAAAAAGAAATTAAACCAATTTTAAGTATTAGCTGTAAGTATTTCAAAGAAAAGCATTTCTTTAAATCTTCTTTCTTACTGGAGCATGTAACATTTTGGGATTTTTTTAAAGACATTATTATGATGGATGACACTGTGCTAATTAAGGGTGTAGTACAGACATTAGAAGGTAGTGTTCTCCAAGAAGTACTTTTAATTGTATTCCCACTAAAACAGTAGATGCTGAAACTATGAGCAGCTTAAATAAATCAGCTACTGCTTGGTTAGATAATCTGCACAATAATGCTAAACCTGATTTCAATGGGATTTATTTTCATTTGAGGATGGGAAAAGCCTGAGTAAAGAACTAGAGATTGAACTTTTGGTATTTGCTTCTTCTCTTTTAATTGCTGCTGTCTTGTTGAATCCTTCAAGCTGTGGCTTCAGCTGAACATGCACTCAATGGGAATTTAAAGGGTACTTAAAGGATTTTTGAAATTATAGTATTAATGGTTACTTTTAAAAAATAAGCCCTTCTGGAGCTTCCCTACCTCACACTACAATGTGCTGAGAACTTCATTTTTGTAATGTCTCTTTTTTAACATTGCCTTCTGTTTGGTTGGAAGGGATCTCCAATGGGAGATGCTCTCATGCTCTCCTAACAAAGCTTTATGTTGCTTTGTTAATGACGCATGCATGGTCCCAGCAACTACTTCACAGAAACTTTGATAAGTAACATGATAACAGTAACTAGTATATAAAAGCTAGACTGATTAGCAGCAATGATTTCCAGATGAGGACAGATGACCCACCAAAGCAGTGATCTCATGTCCTATAGTTGTATGGCAGCACAGAAATGCTCAGCGTCTGTCACCAGCTCAAACTAGCTACTATGGTGCCTGAAAGGGTTCATGTCCTTCATGAACTATGTCCTAAACAGGGAAAAGAGTCAGAGGCTGCTTGAATTCCTTCATCATCTGCTACTTAAAGAATCTAGGGATAGTTCCAAATAGTATTGAGATGACACTTAAATCAGAGGAGTCAATTATCTAAATAACTATTTTTTTTTTTCCCCTCCAGATCTTGTCCTCAAATACTGCAGTGAAAAGTGGCAAAATAAAATCCCAAGAGTCATTCTCCAGAACAATACCTAAGAGAAGGAATATAAATACACAGTTCAAGACTGGATCAGTCCAAGTCCAGAGGTCTCATTGATCTCTCATTCAGTGGTCAATCATTCAGTTCCTGACTGAATAGCAGCATGTCTCCTAGCTTTCCTTCAAGTATGGTGGGTCATTATGACATTATTGGTGCAAATTTGTGCAAAAGCCATTCCAGATGGTGGGTATTCAGATGTTCAAAAGTTGTTTCCCTATACAGTCATGCTTTCAGTTTAAGGAGAGAAACTGTGCAGTTTTGGACAGATGGAGAAAAAAGATCAAGAAAATATTGGTTAG